GTTTGTTTATTTAGTTTAATATTTTTTATGAGCTCAACTGTTGCATTTTCTACATTAGCTTTTTCTTGGAATGTCCTTGGTTCAAATGGTGTTTTCCACTTTTTCAAATTCATTTGAAAAGTATCATGATTTTAAAAAGAATAAGAGGAAATTAATAGAAATACGGAACTTATACTTGGAATACATATTTAAATTGAAGTTTAGATTAAATGATTGCAACTTCAGATGCTCAGACATAACAGGTTATGTGTGTGAGAGGTGTAGTTTTGACAAATTCTTAAAAATAGTGTACTTAGCACCACCCTTAAATATGATTCCTTCAATAGCCACAATGAACCAAAGAGCAAGCAATACATATTAAGCAATGTAAGATTGCTTATTTACAAGGTCACTTTATATAACAATCTTGTATTTTGCAGACTTAGCTAAAGTCAGGAAATCCACAAAGCATATTACCATTAAAGTGTATTGCTTTCACTACATATAATAAATATATACTCAGATGGGAAAAGTTGGAGGCCTAAAATAGTTACAAATTTTCTGGTATATCCAATATCATCTAGTCTTCACAACACCTTGAATAGGATTGTATATACAATCGAAATTGAGTGCAAAATTTCTGTTGCTAAGCAAGTCATTTGTTAAGTGAATTTTACCCCATTTTACGACTTTGGTTGTGACAGTTGTTAAATGAATCACTGCAGTTGTTAAAGTAGCACAATTGCTAAGTGAATCTGGCTTCCCTATTGACTTTGCTTGTCAGAAGGTCACAAAAGGTTATCACATGACTATCATAAATATGAACCAGTTGTCAAACATCCAAATTTTGATCACATGATCATGGGAATGCTGCAAGGTTGTAAGTGTGAAAAATGGTCATTATTCACATTTTTCAGTGCCATTGTAACTTTGAATGGTCACTAACCAAATGATTGTGAGGACTACCTGCAATTGTTTCAGATGAATGAGTGAGATATATATAAGCCTGATAACTTTTATTTTGACTCTCGCAAGGTCCCAAAGACAAATATCAGAATATGTTATCTAGTATTAAAAGTACTATATGATTTGTCATATAAAATATCTGCTTTATTATCATTATGATAGGAAAATGAATAGAAATAATTTAGTTCAAACTATTATTTAACTAACTGGTCCTCAAGTATATTTATCCTCGCAAAGACAGAAATTTGTTTCTTTTCCCTTTTAATAGTTTAGAAAATTGAAATGATTTCTAATATTTATAGTCAGTCTTCTCTAATTTGTGTCATATGGATTTATTTATAGCCCATCACTAATTGCTGAAGGACTGATAAAAATCCTTGAAGATGATTCATTAAATGGAGAAATTATGAAGATTACAAAACAAGGAATTAATTTTCATGAATATTGTCCAACGCCATAAAAATAAGCCTTACTATTTTTTCTGGAATAGTTCATAATATTTCCTTCCCTAAACTCAACAATACTAAATCGTTAGAAGAAAATCTTGGTAATGTTAACATTTCATTTCAACATGAAAACTTTTGCCAATATGTGAAGGATTTTTGATATTAGAAATTACTTATATTTTCATCCATTAATGTTTCAAATGCTGTAAAAATATACTATGTAATTTTAATTGTGAAAAGTACAGTTATAAATATGTTTAGCAACTGATGGCTTAGTCAATTTAGAGGTTTTATAGATTTAAGATAAAAACAATAATATTAAACACTCTGTTATTCATAAATTAATCCAAGCAGCATGACAGAATTTCAGGATCTGATTTACATAGTACAGGATTGTATATTTAAGATTTCATTCAAATTAAATAATTTTATCTTTGTAATGCATTTTACCAAGTCTTTCCCCCCATTTGTACGACATATTTAACAGTATATACTGTAGTTATTTAGTTTGAACCTACCAAAAAATATTCGCTCATGCTAAATGTAAGGTTGTTATCTAGTTACATTAAAATAGAACTCATAATTTGTTTCACCTTTCTCACAAAATACATTTGCACTCGAAAAGCAAACGAACAAAACTAGCTTTTTCTGTGAGTGATTTCCGCTGGCAGAATGACTCAACACAAAATTTTAAACATTTGTAATGTTAAATTACAAATATTTTTACTTATTCTTGTGGCTTCAAGTTAGTTTTTATTCTTGATTACTAGGCTAGCCCTTGCACTTTCATTGGCAAGATTTTTTTGAAGTGGCTTGCCACTGCTTTCCTTCAAGAGCTTTGAGAGGGTGATTGGCTCAACATTACTCTCCTGGTTTCATGCCTGGGGCGGGGTGGGGGTGTTGCTAGAATTTGTGGTCACCCAGTTTCTAGCCTGATGCCTTAACTACTACGTATAAAATGTGTATGATAAATATGTGTTTTAACGATACGTAGAAACAATAGGCTACAATCTAGACACGTGTAGAACTCATATCAATACATATTTAATAGAGATATATCTATACTTTTAAAATAATAAACATTACTTAAGAGAGGGTAAATAATCCAAAATCAAATAACTGTATAACTTGCATATTTAACATTGAAAAGAGATCAACCAGAAGATTCATGTTTCTTGAAAATATTTCAGAAATTTATTTAAGAATTTATTTATTGGAGTTCTATTCCAATTTTTTTTCAGCAATCAAGACAGTTTAGAGTGATTAAAAGGGAGCATACAGCTACAAATTCACTAAGAGAAGCCCTGAGTAGGATATTCAAAAATTGTGCTTCTGACAACAGCAGGGATGGTAATCTTCAAAGGGCCTTTTTTGTGATTTTAATAGGTTCATGAGATGAAGAAAGTTCTGCAGATGAGCCATTCAGAGTGTTAAGGGTCAGCACTAAGACACTGAATACTTCTTAGGACTTTGGAAACAGGTCTTTCATCAGAGGCATCATACAACCATTGTAGTTGCCTGAGGAATTTGGGGAGTTGAAGTTCAGTTTCTGAGGTTGAAAAACACTGTTGTAACTGCTATATTTTGTCTTGATTACAATTTTCAGAAGGTCTTCAAGAACAGAAGGTACACACTATGATTTATTAAGGTAGATTTTATTCATTCATTCATTCAATCATTCAATTTCCATAGCCCCTATATTAGTCAATGACTGGGTGGCTTATAATTCAAATATATATATTGCAATTGAACTACTAAAAACATTTTAAAACAACAGAAACAATTAAAAACAATATCCAGAATAAATATTCATAGCAGCCAAGATATTTTATTTATTTATTTGATTTGTCAATCACTTACAAAATAATAGGTATAAGTATATACATAGTTATGAATACATGAAATGGGTACATATAAGAAAAATAAAAGAAACAATAGGACAGGGATGGTAGGCACGTTGGTGCGCTTATGCACGCCCCCTACAGACCTCTTAGGAAAGGTGTGAGGTCAATAGTAGACACTCTAAGGTTTTTGGGGTTTGGGGAAGAAACCACAGAGTCAGGTAGAATATTCTAGACATTGACCACTCTGTTGCTGAAGTCGTATTTCCTGCAATCATGTTTGGTGTGGTTAACCTTGAGTTTGTATCTATTGTGTGCTCTTGTGTTGTTGTGGTTGAAGCAGAAGTATTCATTGACAGGTAAGTCATTGCAATGTATGATTTTATATACCATATTTAGATCAGACCTTGGGTTAGTGTTAGGGTCAAGGTTTTCTAGGTCTAGAATTTCAAGTTTGGTGGCATAAGGTATTCTACAACAATATTAGGCCAGTTAATGATACAGTCAGGAAGTGGGGTGCTTAATATGGGTAACAGGCTGTAACCAAGTTGTGGATAACTTTGCTAAATCCAGCTAGTTAATCTGCCATTTGCAAATCCAGTAGTATATAGTGATTAAGGAGCACTCGCAAACTGGTAATATACTCTTTCTGGATCAGTATAGCGCATCCAGAGGAAGCCTCATATCAGAAACTTGCTTTTGAAAAAATTCTGTTGCACATGGATTTAGCTTTAGCTTGTTTTTTGTCATCCAGACCATTACTGACATTAAGTAACATGCAATTGTTTGATCCTCTGGGAGATATATCAGCACTACTCTCTGTGTTGTTCTTACTGTGTGTAACAAGGTTATGAAAATACATGTTTGCAACACTGATACTGGTAATGCTGAGTAATATAGACAGTGGAATTTAATTAAAGGAATATTCCCCTAGTAGGTGGCACACAATAACAGTATTAAATTAACATTTATTCCTACTCAGCATTCAGTGAATATGTTTTTCTTGTGTGAACTATAACTTTAAATTGTGTCTCATTTGAAAGAGCATGTAAACAGTACAAAGTACTTCATTATTATTGGTATCTTTATTTACACAATAGACCTGAGCTCTAAAATGCATGAATAGGATACTGGAAAGTGAATACTGGTATAGGTGGCTTATCAAAAGAGAATAGCTCTTTCTGAAAAATTAAAATATAGTGAATTTCTCTACTATATCATTAAGTTTAATGTATGAAAACTGGATTCCTTGCTTAACCTTTATGATTACAGAATCTACAGATAAACTTCCACTGTGTTCTCAGTTCTCTGGAAAAGGTATTATAAATAGTTAAGACTGATAGATAAAAATTATTTTCCCCCTAATATTAGAGATTAGCTTCCTAGAAAATTATTTTCAACAATATAGCATGGTGAATAAAAGAAGGCAGACTGGTATGCATATTAATATTACTTATCATTATACAATATTTAAGAACTGATTCAAACAAGAAATGTTGAAATGGAAATTGGTTTATCTATTTATAAAATGTATAGACTGCCTATCTTACCTCAAGGTAACTCATGAGAAAATATTTGCCTTTCTCATATACTATATAGAAACAAAAGATGGTGCACTCCAAATATACTATATCTTTTTTGAAAAAGGTCACAAACAGGATTTTATTAATCCATTTCAATCAGCTTCATGTGGGTCATTTTACTTAACTGGCTGTGGCTAATGATTTGCTGCTGGCTAACACAAATCCTCAGTCATTTATTTTAGAGCTTCTGACTTGTGGTATTTGACATCCTATTACCTTATCCAGGTTCATTAGGCGTCATGCCTTTTCTCAGGTTTTACATGTTTTGCTAAAGAGAACATGCCTGCTCTCAGTCCTTCCAGTTATCTGTGAACATACTTTTAGTTTAGATTTAAGTCCATGATTGTTTATTTTGTACACTTTGTCATTAGGGTTATGTCCAAACTAGTACAGCTTGTGTACTAGTTAGACTGTTTTTAATATATCTCCATTCTTCTTTTATGAATTTCTACATTGTGCACTATCATGTTTCTCAAAGATACCCTCAGCTGCAAAAGTTGAAAGGAAGGAAAATAGATTCTTTCAAGCTGTGATGTTAGAAAAACTGCATTCCTTGGACAGCAGGTGACAAGAAAGTACTGGTGTATATAAAACCAGACATATCACTGGAAGACAAAATCAGAACATTTTATTTTACTGATTGGAGCCTTGTCATGTGATCAAATTCATGGGAAAAAGCATTTACGTTTGGAATGGTCAGCAGCAAAAGGAAATGAGGCTGCCCAAAACCACAATGGCTTGACATCAGGAAAGATGACACTAGCCAGAGAATAAAACAACTGAAAGAAGCTATACTAGATCGAAAAATGTGGAAAGAACTGGTCTATAGAGTTGCCTAGAATTAGATACAATTGAACAAATTGTCACATTGGTTTGGTATACAGGAACATTAGCAGTTTAAATCTCAGGTGTTCACTATCTCAGCTATTTTAAAAAGTTAATTATATTTTGTATCCTTGGTTCAATAATAGTTCTGGTAATTAGTTTTCCCCCCTTCATATTAATTTGCCTTGCAAGTTTTAACCTTTTTCCCATTTGGCTCCTGTACTCTAGAATCAATTCTATTATTGTTATTGTTTTATACTTTGTTTGTACAACTGTTAGAGAATTGTTTATATCAATTATCACTTTATCTTATCTTAAGAAATAAGATTGGCTCCTAAATGAAAATAGGTGATCCTATAGCATACTATAAAAATATCTAATTATATCTCATCTCTAGGGAGGGATCAGCTCTGCCCCTTCTGTGGTGGAAATTTGTACTAGAAATAGATAAAGATGTGGGAGACAAAATAAAAGCCAAATACTAGAGAAAATGAACAACTTGCTATTTTTTGATTTGCCCACCCATGAGAAAGGTAGAGCAACTTTAAATCAGCTTTATCACAGATCAGGCAATGAATGGAAAAACCTAACCTAAAATTAAAAATATTAGAGGACACACATGAAAATTACTTATCTCTATCAGCATACTTGTGTTGATCTCATGGAAAGAAAATTGCTAATGATTATATCACTACCTAGGCATTGCATATAAACTTATACATAGAAATGTTTTACCTGTAAATGACTTTTTCTGTTTTAATCACAATAATACATGAGCAAACAACCACTTTAAACTCAATGTAAATCATTCTAAACTGACTGTAAAAAATATGATTTCTGTAATAGAGTTGTCAAAGTGTGGAATGCCCTACCTGATTTAATTGTCTCAGGTACAAATTTCCAGAGTTTCAGTCACAAATTGAATTTGTTGGACCTTACTGCATACTTAAAGGGATCAGTAGAGGGGGTGTGCATAAGTGCACTAACGTGCCTATCGTCCCTGTCATTGTATTTTTATTCTCTTATTCTTGTTCTCATTTTTGTTTGACAAATTCCAATAAATAAAAGAAATAAATATTGGAATTAGATGTGATAAGTAACACACTGTGTCACATTAAAAAAACAAACCGTAGAAGGTTGCACAGGACACACCAGTATAGTTCCATCCTGGAATGAAATAGAATGATTCAAACCA